CACCAACAGTGTGCGGAGCGCTGTACAATATAAGGAAGACGTTACAATCACAATACAATTCAAGACAAGATGGTAAGGAGGGCCCTGCCCCTGGGAGCTTACAATCTAAGAGGGGGGGGGGCAGTAATACATGAGGAGGGAGCTGTGTGGGGGATGAATTGTTTGAGAACGCGATGGTTGAGGTGGAATCGGCTTCCCTGAAGAGATGAGTCTTAAGGGATCGCCTAAAGGCAGTCAGGGTGGGAGACAGACGGACAGGTTGGGGTAAAGAGTTCCACAGGATGGGAGAGACTCTAGAGAAGTCCTGGAGGCGAGCATGGGAGGAGATGACGAGGGAGCTGGAAAGCAGGAGGCCTTTGGAGGAGCGGAGGGGGCAGTTAGGGTGATACAAAGTGGGAGATATAGCTGGGGCGGAGTTAAGTGTAGGGGTAGAGGAATACGGTGTAAAATTAATTTTTTCTTAAATTCATTGAAGGACACAATGGAGATCTTGATCTCTAACAATGGGTTATAGCGCCACTTGCAGGAGTAGGAAGTGGCGGCATAACCCATTGTTAACAGAGATCAAGATCTTCACTCTGTCTTACAATAGACGCAAGGAAAAGGATTTTATGGTGAATACAAAAAAAATTCCTATTATTCCTTGCTCTCGTAGGCTGCAGTCCACCAAAAGCCTCTTCAGAAGCAGTCTGGCTGGGGGTGACGCATGTGACTTCATCAAGGACAATACCGGACCAATAGTCCTGCATTGTATGTGAGGGCAACAAGGGCCTGCCCACATCTCATAGAGAAGAGGAGTGCACCATTGCACATTAGCTTATTCCTTCAGACTTGAAGGAGAACTCCAGGCAGAAATGTTATCACCCCTCGCAGAGGGGCTACCCCGGCACTGCAAGGGTTAACTGCTCATTTTTTGCCTAGGGTCCATCTCTCTCCGGGAGTCATGTCTGTGAGAATCTTGCAATGTCTCATGGGATTTGTTGTTCCACCACAGCTGGAGGGCCGGGGTTTGGCTACCCCTGCCCTAGAGCGTCCCTCCCTCCTCTGCAGCGGTCTAGGAATCCTGGAGTCATCGCTGCCAGTATACTGTGTATAGGTGGTGAGGACACTGGGGTACGTTCGCTGCAGCGGAGCAAGAGGGAGGCTGCCGGCTCAGAGGATCAGGTGAGTATAACTTTTTTTTTGGACCCTAGGCAAAAACAAGCAGTAAAAACTTGCAGTGCGGGGGGTAACGCCGATGCAAGGGTTAATACCATTGCCATACCGGCCGCCATTGCCGGAGTGCATGTAGACTGGAAGTGGCTGCAAAGAGGGTGCATGAGATCGAGAACACTGAGACCTAACAAAGAATGAAAAAAGGGTGAAAAGAAGGATTTTTATGATGCCGATTGTTTGATACTCAATAATTTAACAAATTAAATGCCATCCAGTTATGGTTTACATTGATTTTAGGAAGCAGTGTCTGCCTTTTTTTTTGTATACGTTTTTTTGGGGAACAGTATCATATTTGGATGGAATTGATGCATTCCACGCAGCATGAAACAGGTCTGCGTCCTTCCAAGTTTGTAAATTACAGTGACATTTACAGCCGCCTTGTCTATACACGTCCCTCCAGTACCATGACCAGCAATCCTCCTCATTCTCCGCAGGCCCGGCGGCCCGGTCACATTTCACAGACGAGATCAACGTGCTTTGTAAGAGCCGACGGGTAGAGCTAGATTGTTGGTTTTTTATTTTTTTTTTGTTTTTAGCCAATCGTGTTCAAGTGTGATTGTACAATCTTCTTTATATACTCCAGGTATATACCAGATCTCATCCTGTGATCACATAGGCTCCCTGTATATAGCAGATCTCATCATGTGATCACATAGTGCTCCCCGTATATACCAGATCTCATCATGTGATCACATAGGCTCCCCGTATATACCAGATCTCATTGTGTGATCACATAGGCTCCCCGTATATACCAGATCTCATCCTGTGATCACATAGGCTCCCTGTATATAGCAGATCTCATCATGTGATCACATAGTGCTCCCCGTATATACCAGATCTCATCATGTGATCACATAGGCTCCCCGTATATACCAGATCTCATTGTGTGATCACATAGGCTCCCCGTATATACCAGATCTCATCGTGTGATCACATAGGCTCCCCGTATATACCAGATCTCATCGTGTGATCACATAGGCTCCCTGTATATACCAGATCTCATCGTGTGATCACATAGTGCTCCCCCTATATACCAGATCTCATCGTGTGATCACATAGAGCTCCCTGTATATACCAGATCTCATTGTGTGATCACATAGGCTCCCTGTATATACCAGATCTCATCATGTGATCACATAGGCTCCCTGTATATACCAGATCTCATCGTGTGATCACATAGGCTCCCTGTATATACCAGATCTCATGGTGTGATCACATAGGCTCCCCGTATATACCAGATCTCATCATGTGATCACGTGGGCTCCCCGTATATACCAGATCTCATCGTGAGAAGTCTTTGGGACGCCGGTCTACCTGGATCCTGGGAAATCTGAGGTTTCCACATCTTACAAGAAGTCACTCCTGCATTGGATTGGTTTCTCACAAGATTCGGGCTTCCAAACGTTCCCAGAATCCCAGGAGAAGGCTTTTATCTCCTCCTGGAATTCTGGGAATGCTGAGACAAAATATGAAGCATCCTATTTTCAAGGGATTAAGAATGAATGGCACCGCAGTGCACCACCGCTCAAAGCGCACCCAGTCCTACTTCATCCTGCCACTGAAGTCATGCCAATGCGTGATCCGAGCTGTCCATGCACGGCTCCCGTGTACTATCTAAAGAAACGTGCTTGCAGGCAAGGAAGAAGCACTTACGGAGTCTCTTATGCATTGAAAGCCTTCATGTTGGCAAATTTTTTATACACTTAAGTTCCTATTGAATAATATTTAAATATTTATATGTCCATATCCTGACCATAAATCTACTTTGTTAACCAGTTGACATCCGCGGTGTTAACCCCTTCATGACTGAGGCCCTTTTTTCCATTTTTGCACCCATGATATATATCTCCCATTTTGGGGCTTCTATAGCCAACATTACATCTGACTCTGGTTAGTCTTCAATGAGGAGTGAAGATTTTCCCAAGGGCAGCATGAAAATTGTCACGTTGATGGGTTCTGTATTATACACAACAGGCAGTAGATAGTTAAAGTGACATTAAACCCTCAGATTTTTTCACATAAAAACAATACTGTAATGTGCGCCTTACTGTAATCCATGGTTGTGTACCTTCTCTTTGCTGCTACGCGCAATTTTAAAGGTTGACATGTTTAGTGTCTATTTACCCGACGTGACCCCGACTTTTATATTTTACCAAAAAATTGGGGTGAAAAAAAATGTTTCATAACATTTTATAGGGAAACATGTTTTTTTTCAAAATTTAGGGTACTTTTTTTGTTATATAGTAAAAAATAAAAACCCCAGTGGTGAATAAAAGCCACCAAAAGAAAGCCCTATCTGTCCCCAAAAAAATGGTATGAAAATCGTTTCAGTAAAGCGTTGCATGACGGAATAAACATCAGTCAAAGTACCGCAGCTCTGAATACTGAAAAATGGCCTGGCCAGGAAGGGGGTGTAACACTATGGCCTTCAAGTGGTTAATGAAGGAGGTTGCTTATGTTTCAAGTTCTAATAAATATTGAAAGGCATTTTACCCAACCATCAGGATCAAAGGCTAGCTCAGGCGTTGTCATAATGAGCTTCTTTGAAGGCGCTGACATCCCGCGTATTAAAGGAAATGGTTCAGGTTATCTGAGCGTGCAAAGGTGTCCGGATACGTCCAGCATGTCTCTTGTTTCTGCCTCTGTCTTCAGGTGAGCATGGACGGCTTACATTGAGGTGGTTCTCTGATCACATATGGCCACCTGCACTTTTTCAGTGACTCAATCTATTCAGCCGAGTCCTCGAGTCCTTGCATGAGCTTAAATATCAGGCAGGCGGGGAATGGCATTTTTGGAATGTAGAGAAATTGGAGCCTCTGTGATCTTCAGGATGGTCTTACCTGATGCACCATATAGGCTTTCAGGAAATACATGACGCCATTACTCTGCAGATATTGAGCAGCAGTGTATAAGACGCTTGTAGATTCACATATTTATATATTTAGCATTGTTGTGCAGATCTATACAATCAATACGTGAGGTGAGCGTTTATCAGACATTTAACGGCTAATATGAATTTGTACCAATTCAAATTTATTTTGTTGGATCCGAAATTCAGTGCCTAATTCAGATCTATTAATATTTTTCTGTTTTGGATTCCGTTTTTTAAATTGAAAATTCACTTTATTTTTTTTGGGGGGATGTGGTTGGAGTGTTGGTCATTGTTTTTCCGTGCTGGTCCTCTGTGCCCGTGCCGCTCCTCCTCTGTGCTCGTGCCGCTCCTCCTCTGTGCTCGTGCCGCTCCTCCTCTGTGCTCGTGCCGCTCCTCCTCTGTGCTCGTGCCGCTCCTCCTCTGTGCTCGTGCCGCTCCTCCTCTGTGCTCGTGCCGCTCCTCTGTGCTCGCGCCACTCCTTTCTCTGCTCGCGCCACTCCTTTCTCTGCTCGCGCCGGTCCTCTCTCTGCTCGCGCCGGTCCTCTCTCTGCTCGCGCCGGTCCTCTCTCTGCTCGCGCCGGTCCTCTCTCTGCTCGCGCCGGTCCTCTGTGCCCGTGCTGCTCACAACAGTCACATGTGCAATTTAGTTTTATATTTCCAAACTAAATTTGGAAATATTCAGATGCGTTCGAATTTAAAGAAGTTCTTCTGAATTTCCATTTGGAATTAAATGAAACTTGCACGTCTAGAGTTTATCAGCATCGGGTCTAGTGACGTAGATGCATCCGATTTTCCATTTGGGAAATATAAAAGATATCCGTGTCTGGTGTTGAAGAACAAAGTTTATTTTTCCTGACTGTTGTGTATATTTCCCCGTCATACATATACATTGTCTCTCTCTTTCCTCCATCAGGTGGTGCGCACAGAAAAGAACAGTCTAAATAATCGTTTCCTTCCCTGGGATGAGATCGAGACCGAAGCTGTCCTCTCCATCGATGATGACGCCCACCTCCGTCATGACGAAATCATGTTTGGTTTCCGGTAAGCCGCTTTTTCACATTTTACTCTCTGAGGTCCTAAGAATTAAGACTTGGCAGCTTCTACCTGACTGCGCAGTGCTTTGTGAACTTGGGTCCGGTCTCCTGGTTCTAGCCAGAGAAGGCTAACGTGTATCTAAACCCAAAATCAAACCGAAATGACGTGTCCTTTTAACCTCCTGTGACTTCAACTGAAATCTCAAACAATTTACAGGAAACTGCAAATCCCCCCCCC